AAAAAAAAAAAAAAAAAAAAAAAAAACAGGTATAACTGAAGTGTTTTCTCAAATTAAGACAGGCAAAACAACAAAAGTTTTTGTAAACTCAAAATTTGTGGTTTTAAAAAATAAAAGTCAGTGAAAAATTACTGCACTAAACAAGAAAAAAATTTCTACATTTTCTCGAAGACTGATCGGAAATACTGCTGCTCGACTAGTAAAACTTCTCATAATTTCTTTTCAGTTTTGAAAAAATTAAAATTTCTAAAAAGATGTTGACAAATTGGTGGCAGACAGCAGTCACGCAAATAAAAACATGACCCAAAGCACAAACTTTCTACGATTTCATTCGCTGTTACCAGCTAAACAAAAAACTTACTTTAGTTTTTTTAAGTTTTCGGTTACTATCTCGTTCGCTACGAGTTTTTTTAACCCTCTGAACCTTTCGTTCAAAATGTTCACGAGTTTCAAACGAAGAACTTTCTGAGAATCCTTGCCCAACGCCCCAACTACCATTATTATATGTTTCATAAATACGATTATCCATGGGTACGATCTGACCATTATGACGTTCATCGCAACCAACAGTGACTGAATAAGGCCCAGTGCTTGAAGAAACAACTGAGTTCTGTTGCGATGAAGCAGACAGATGGTGGTGATCAGCCGTCGATCTAGTCAGCTCATGCTTACGTTCAGCCTTCTTTGTATAAGATCGCAAAACCTTATACATAACGGCTCAACGTTGAGATTTCAGATCAAATACTGCAGAAGAAAAACGAATAATTTTTGAAAAGTAGTAATATAACGTAACAAGTAGAACACAAATTTTGGGGCTGGTAAATGCGGTTTGCGTAAGACCAACAGGAATTGGAATGTGGTAGATTCGAACGAGGCCGAATGTATTGGGAGACGCCCCGCGCCCCGCCTCTCTTCTCTGTCCCTTTCCTTTCCTTCTTCACACCAAGGGCAATAAGAAAACTGCCTGCTGTTTTAGATATTGTATTCCTGTCCCCTTCTGATTACTGCTTCTATTAATAATGCTACCGTCGCTGTCGCTGTCGCTGCGGTTGCCGTCGACGCCGCCTCCACAGTGTCAAAACTGAGCGTTACCGTTGTTAAATAATGATATAATGATCAACAATGACGCTTGGTGTTTGCCTGTAACTTTCTTGACGCAAAAAGTATTGCCAAAACTAAAACCGCGACAGCATAACAACACAGACTTGGGAAACCGAAGCAAGCATCAAAGATACAAAAACAGCCGACAACTTCACCAGACCCTAACCGTACATAGTGTCTGATTTGTATGCAAACCACCAAAACCAGTTTTTCCTCGACTATTTTGAAAACTGCCCTTCAATCTGCTGCCTGCCATTGGCAACAGAAAGTTTCCAGTAAACCAAATGCTTCTTGCATCACTCTTCCTTTCATTTTTGTGAGTTCTCATTAAGCCGTTAAGTAAAATTGCTATTTTGGAAACTACGAAGTAATCCCTCAATAAATAACAAATATAAATGAAAAAAGTCTACCTACTTTGTAAAAAACAACAAAGGAAATTAGATGATTTTTTCTGCCCCTAAAAAACGAGTACTCTCGCACAATTTACGAGGAAGTCATAAAAACTCAAAAGTCGCAGTTTCTTCCAGAAAGATAGAGAAGGAAGCCGCCTTTGTGTTCTAACACTTGACATCAAAACACTTAAGCCTCTTCCAAAGCCGAATTAAGCATTTAATGTAGTTGATTAAACTAACCAGTTACCAGGACTTGACTGAACTATGAGTACTCGACTTACCAAACAAACGAAGGGTGTAACAAAACCGATTCTCCTCCCCTGATCCGTTGAAAAGTTTATCGAAAACAACATTCAAGAAAAAATTCTTTCTCCAAAAAATTGTATGAACATTAAAATTGATTATTCATAAAGTAAAAAGAAAAAAATATCAGTATTAGAAAAAAATGAAGTAGTAAAAACAACAACGAATTAAGACAACGGGGTGAAAAAAAATTTGAAGACGGAAACAATAACACTTGAATGATGTTTAAGAAATGACAAGAAATCAGAAAACAAGAAAGGCATTAGATCGAGTTTTGCGGGCGGGAGGAGAAAAAAACAGATAAATTAGTTTTCACAACAAAAAATTGTTACTGAAAATGAAATAGCAGCGAAAGAAAAAAGGTGAAGAAGCGCAAGCAAAACCTGGCAGCAGGTTGTACTCTCCAGCTGCCGCTGTTTTATTACAGACACCTGGAAATTAAGGATGATCGTCCAAATCAATCCTAATGTTAGCTTTGGGTTTCCTTCAACGATATCCTCTGGCCGAATATTAACTGTTTTAATCTGCAAGAGTGTAAAAAGTATGAGGGAACACAGTACAACTAGAGGTGAATTTGGACTGTCCGAAGAGAAAAATTCAGGAAATGGAAAAACACAACATTTATTGCATGTCTCATTTGACTCTATTTGTATTCAACAGTCTCTTTTTCTACCCTTTTCTACTACCCACTCAATTTTTCTTCAAAATCTAGCAAACGATTGAAATTTCTTCCACAGTCGATCTTCTGTATCGGCTAATTAGAAAAGAAGCAGCTATTGTGAATGTTTGAACGAACCAGAATGTTGAAAACTTAATTGAAACTTGCAACTCAATTCACTTTACACATCGATGGTTAATGCACCAAAACGGAATTCTTTTCGATAAAGTGCAACCGAATCTCGCGGGCAACGCCCAGTACTAGAACCATCATGTACATTGCATTTTGAAGGGAAATGTAACTGTAATGACAAAAAATGAGGGAAAACTAACATTTTTTTTTTTCAGAAAATCCAAGCAATACTGAATATTCTGAATTCGGTGAAAACGTGTACAACCAACCTCACGAGACTGAAAAGCTATAATTATTAAATGATCTTAAAAATAAAGATTTCTTTCTTCTCCGACTCAGTAATAACCAACAACATTGTCAACAATTATACTACCAACCAAAAGTGCAAATGATTATAAATTTTCAACAATCTATCCATCAATTACAGAATGGCAATACAATTACGGGGGAAAACACTGAGAACCCAGGCCTTTCTTAATAATAAATTTTCCACTCCGCATTGTAATAAAAAATTATGTAACCAAAAACTAATTAGTAGAATAAATAGAGAAGCAACAAGTTAGCCCTTCTTTCTTATTTTTTCACTATCAGTTCCAAAAAAAAGACCAGAGATTCATTGAACAAAAACTAATTACTAGTGCAACATTTGAAAAAATTTTAAAAATTCTCTACTCGTGGCAGACGTAACAGGTTATAAGTGCTAAAGTACCTGGCAAAAAGTGTATATTATATAATTCTATAAGTGACATGAAAATTTTTCTAAAACTGTAAAAAAAAATCTGTCCTACATTGTTGGAAAATTCCATTTAACAAAGACGTATAAAATCTTTATATTGGAGAAACTCAAAGGCCAAGGTCATCCGTTACAACGAGTTACAAATGAACTTGTCTAAAGGATAAGACCGTATTTTAAAGCTGTCAAAATATGATTGAAAACTATGAAACGACTATCTGTAGACAAATGCCATATATACATATTTTACTGTCTGCGGCTACAGTTAAACAATTATTCCGCAATTTTTTTCCGCTCTTTGAAATGAGATCAATCAACTTACCTTCAGAAATCAATAAAAAAAACCCTTTTAACATTTCTTATAATAACAACAATCAATTTGAAAACGCAGTGAAGCCCAGAGCAGAGCAACTGCAGCATAAGTTTTTAAAAATTTAAAAAATCAAGTACTAAGGAAAATTGAGAACCAGAAAGAAAAAAGACAGACTTGACTTGCAGAAGAAACTTGACTGCTTATTTCAAAAAATAAAAAAGTCAATGTACACCTTGCATAGCTCACAAAGGTACTCAACAGAAAATCATAAAATTGAAGTCCAAAAAGAAAAAAAAATACACATTTCATGTAACAAAATAATTTTTAGAGAGTGAAAAAACCAAAGTCTACAAGACAATTAATCTAAAACCGTGTTGAAATAATCGAAACATACCAATCTTTCTGCAGAAAGTGCCTCCAGTAAAGCTATAAGGTTGACTCCATCAGAAAGATCAACAAATAAGTCGTTTACTTTGCGACCAGTCTGAAATATATTTATAGATTTTAAATTTCAAGCCCGTCAAATTACAGAAGCTTACTGTGGGTGATGTGCCTCTTCAGAATAGTGCAAGAGAAACACACTTGTTTGTGTTATTGCAACTACAGAAGTTTCAAAAAAAGCTGATCTCCTCATAAGAGTGACAAAGTTTGATGAGCAAAATTAAAACAATAAAATATACTTTGTGTATTTATTTCAACCTTCCAATGCCTACTAATTATAAGGTGTAGTAAAAAAAAAACTATGCAAA